CTAGATCCCCACGTAGCTGGCTGCAGATATGCAAGCTCAGAGCCCATCTTGTAAAAGCCGATGGCTTCAGAGTGAGTCCCGTGAGTCCGCCAGACTCGTGGCCATATCTCATAAACGTTGACTCTATAAACATATCGGACCATATGGCGTTCCATATGCCTTGGTTGTGACGAATGACATGATTGCCGTGCATGCATTCTTTGAGCAGATCGTCTGGTAGATGCTCCATTGATCGAAGATAGTACAGACCGTACCTGGCATAGTTTCAATGACTGGAACAAAGAAATAGGGAATCATCTCCGCAACTGCAAACAGATGCAGAGGCCAGTCGGCTTCCCGCACAACTCTTAGAATCACCACCATCAGGAGGATTGGCTTGATCAAGTTATCAATCCAAAGTTTTGCTCTGGCATGCTTTATTGTTACAATGATTGGACTCAGATGTTCTTCAACTACCATGAGCAAGGCTCTCATGTTTTGCGGAAACTTCTTACCGGTGAGCATGTTTGGGACACCACCTAAGGTTGTTTGCATGATTTCAGTAAATCCTGTGTTACTCATAACAGTTCCCACAGCTCCGACGAAACTCATTAGGAAGTGCATTCCACATAATGTTTAAAAAGGCAACCTCCAATCTCTTCGGAAGAAGCCATGGCCTGCTGCTGCCACAATCACCAGGAAAAAAGACAGAATTGAACAATCACCAGTGTTACGATGAAAGACGATTTCGACCACATATATTGAAAATATGACACCAGTGTTATTTGCACAATTTTAATAATATCATTATCGGTTTCCTTGGCCATGAAAACATAGTATTAGACACCAAAAATGTGTTTGTAAGGGCATTAAAAGTGAAGATATTATCTCAAACAGAATTAAACGAAAATCGGTGGCGGCCATCTTGTTTTTCGCCTCTAAAATAAAGTCCTCAATGGTGCCAGTGTGGCATCCGGCTGATTCTGGTTCAGGATAGCTCAGAGATGATGAATCAACCAAAAAACTTCATAATGACGCCAAAACATGCTTTTTCACAATTCCGCTGGACTAAATCGCTTGAAACTAGAGTTTATCTGATGTTGTTCATTATTGTCACTTCTTTAGCTGGCAATGCCAGACGTTCAATATATTGCATAGTCTCATCTGGTAAGCTAACATTTTAATAACATACGAGTATGCATGAGTATCAAACTAGACACTACTTGAAATGTGCGGCATGTAATTCAATATGTGAATCTATTTCTGATATGGAAGAATGTCATGTCTCCAGTGTTTTGTGAACTAATGCACTACACAATACTGATACGCCTGTGATAGATTTACGCCTCACCAACAGACGGACCGACTCGGTATTGTTAAATGAAATGTATAGAGCGGACGTAAAGTTGAAAAAAATAGACAGACCGATTGCATTGCGCATTCGCAAAGATAAACCAACTGAAGTTTAAGGGTTTATTTACACTAGACAATAACAACCAAGTTAAAGCACTAAGGCTTTAAGTAAACAATTAAAAGTGGGACACAGCGTGAGTACTTCTAACAGGTTCGTATACACAGACTAGCAGCACTGACAGTAAACAAGTCAGTTTCAATATATACTGAACCGCAAAAGATACGTCACCCCAAGTCACATTGCATGAAAAGTTGTCATTTAAATATCTGGGTAATTTTTGTCAAAGTTTCTAAAAATTAACATTACCTTGTCCGGAAAAATGAAATTTGATGATTAAAAAACAAAGCAGATGACAATAAAACCGATCGCCCAAACGCATCACGGCAACGGGCATGGTAACCCGATGCACGTGAGGTCCGTGCAAATTGAAATGCACATGCGCTCCCCCATTTCTTACCCTATAATCAACCCAGATCGGATAACATTCATTCATTATTGAATTGCTACCACATGCCAAGATTGACAAGAAATCAGCGACACCAAGCCCTTGGGCAATTGCAAGATTGACAAACCGCCCGGCAAGTAGCCAATGCATTTCAAGTCCACGTAAGGACTATATACAGGCTCCGGCAACAGTACAAGACCACCAACAGGACAGATGACCGACCACGTACTGGAAGACCAAGGGTCACCACCCGACGTCAGGATCATCAGATTGTGCGACAGCATCTTCAAGATCGCTTTCTTACTGTTGCGGAAACTGCTCGACAGACCATGGTGACACATGAGGCGACACATTAGTGCGGACACTGTGCGTCGACGATTGACCAGCAGACACCTCCACTGTCCAAGGCCACACCGAGGACCCATTCTGACACCATGTCTTCGCCGGGACCGTCTTCAGTGGGCAACGCAGCACCTGCATTGGCGACACCAGCAGTGGAGAAGAATCCTCTTCTCAGACAAGAGCTGTTACTGTATCTCAACAGCAGATGGCAGAGAGTCTGGCGACGCCATGGGGAACATTATTCGGATGCTTGTGTTGTTGAGAGACTCGTGGGGTGGTCCGAGCATCATGGTGTCGGGTGAAATTGGTCTTGCACAGAGGGTCGGCCCTGTGGTATTCCAGAACATCGGTCCAGGGAGAGGCAATGGTGTCACAGCAGCTCGTTACATTGATCAAGTCTTGAGACCACAAGCTATACCTCATTTGGCACCTTACTGCAACCACGAGTTTCAGCATGATAACGCCCGTGCCCACACTGCGAAGGCAACAAGAGACTTCCCCAGGCAGAATGGCAGCAGAACCATACAGTGGCCTGCCCTCAGTCCCGATTTAAATCCCATTGAGCACCTGTGTGACGAGATTCAACGACGGCTGAAAGACGTCCGACCAACTGTAGCTTAACTGCGTCAGGCGTTCCTCAGAGTGAGGGCTCAAGTACCTATGACCTTCATCAACCGCCTCATCCATTCCATGTATCGACGTTGCACTACAGTCATCAATGCACATGGCGAATACTGATACTGACTTGTGATGCCATTTTCTCAGAGACTATTGTTTCAATCTAAGAACATTTGACACTTTAATTTCAATCTTTATGATCAGTTTTGCCAAGTTTCATCTTTTTGATATGTCTCAAAATATGTTTCCAGTGTTTGGACAAATAAGGTTTCTCATATCTATCCATGGCGACGTTTCTTTTGCGGTTCAGTATATAATATTAAAACCCGGTCTAAATATACACAGGTATAAGTTGCCACGATGCCAATCTAAACAGCTTCATGGACCAGCTTGTGTCTGCACAGCTTGAACCTTCGCCGGGCACCGACGCATCATAACAAACTGGGGTCAAGTCCGGGAATTTTTCGTCAAAGCGCGGACGACGGAGTAGAAAACCCCAAATCGGCTAGTATTTCACCCCAAGCGGTGGGCCAAGGCTATTAAGTGTTTTTGTAACAAACACTTCGAGTGAATTAAACATTTAGTGTATGTAAGCATTAAAATACAAAAGGGCAGTCTCTCAACATAGAACCTTGTCACAGCACGTCACACAGAGCTCGACGTTTCTGAAGTCCACCGAAATAAAACGTTGACACATACATCAAAAGGTTCAATTAACATCTGATAATTGATTTCAATTATTTACATTGCAATGTTTTCCAAAATCTTGTGACACCATTCCTGTGGTTCAACACGTTGGATACAATTGTTCTCATCAATACGGTATGACTCCGGACCATCTCTGTCGAAAAACACAACTCCACTGAAGGGATGCACGTATACCTCAAGGACATAGGTGTCTGCTTGACCTTCGACTTTGTGAAACGTAACTTTCAGAGTCTTTGCAATCGCATCTTGGTCAATAGTGGTTATGTCCTGCTTAAGAAACAACATCTTTGAAACAATTTGGTGCAGTATTTCTGATTTGAGAGTCTCGTGATCTATTTCGTTCAATTCAAATCCTTCAATGAATACCTTTCTTGTTTTGTAGGTGTCTATTTCTCCGTCGTCTTGTTCAGCAACTCCTAGGAAATAGTACCCACCTCCTTTCTGGTTTGCAAAGGATGAAATGTATTCCCTCAGACGAAGCCCCTCCATGATGTAGGGTGCCAAATTGTCCCTCTCCACATTTTGTGCATTTCGGAAGGACTTTAGTTGCACGTTGCTCGCCTCTTGCAGTTCGTCAAGTGACTTCTCCTTATATTCCCGACATGATCTGTCTGTACGCAGGATGTAACGCATGTTTAAGAGTGTGGGTCTAGCAAAGCCTTTATTGAGGTTGATGTGTGTGTTGTAGTTTGTGGTAGAAATAGTTGATGAAGGGTTGCACGTAATGGAGAGACAATTGGGTTCATTTTTCTGCCATTCTCTGAAATAACTCTCATGGAATATGCTTCCATCCTCAATTAATTCATTTAGCCTGTCATCCATCAGTTCATCCACAAACCCCAGAAACTGGTCGCTGTCTTCCATATGTGTAAAGTATATGAGCAATATGCCACCCCTTGAGTTTCTCAGTGCACAGATACGCTCAAAAATACGATCCTTTTCCTTGTTTTTCCTCTTTTGATTTTCTTTCTTTTGGTTTTCACTATGTTCACGATCCTGCTGTCTGTCCAGTTTTCTTTTCTTTGACGAGCTTGCCTTTGCGCCCGGAATTCCCGATGAATCTTTAGTCTTTGGTTGACATATGCTTCTGATGTCAACATGCATGGATAGCACACGCTGCGAGGTCTTGATACCTCTAACAATGGTCTTGCATTTTGAACAGTCTGAAAAATCCACATCTGGAGTTTAGATGTACTGGGGGACTTGGACTTTTCTTAAACGGGTACCTTATGTGTATTATCCTTCATATGCATATATGTGGTTTTATGTATATATTGTATGTGTTTCGAAACGATAAAACACTATGAGCAATAACATACATATATATGCGTTTTATAAACTAGCAAAGCCCTTGCTAACTGAATGTTATTTTTACATTTACGTTACCTTCATCATCAGTTCCATGTAACACACACACGTTTCATAAACTAGAAAAACCCTCGTAATTTGAATGGTCACATTCTTTTGCTAATATTATTCTTATATTTTTCTTACTTTCATCATCTGTTCCATGTCCACTGTCAACTGTTTCTTCCTCAAGCTTTCTCTTCCTTCCACGTTTAGAGGTGAGCTCCATCGCGATAGCATACACTTGTGTCTCGCGTCGCTGCCCATATCAAACATATCTATATAACATACAGTCAGCTGATCAGTTGATTATTTTTAAACTTTGACATTCTATGCAGTGCGTGCGACGTCAATGTATAATTGTATTGTATTCAATAGAATAGGTTGAGACTCCCTTCTAGAATAATTCATCAGCTGGATCCGGTGTGCAACGATACATCTACTTAAGTGGAAAACGTGTGCATATTAATTTACACGTAAACAACTTGGAGTAACTTAATCCCTCTACAGCCGAGCCTATCCACGCACATCTGTATCCTGATCTGAAATTTAAGTAATCTATACCTTCATATTGTAATCAGAGTTACAAACGTTGGAACAAGATGAGAGAGTATGTGTATAACATGTCAGTCACTCTATACATCATTACACACTAAACCTGTACATGTATGTTGTGAGTAACCCTCCCTGCATACAACTACACACCAGTTTAAGGGGATTTCGTGTACATGTATATTGCGGTACGGGTTGGCCAGTTGCCTAAAACGCAATTCACTGTTTAGAGTTGTTTCCGTCAGGCGTGCAAAAACATAATATAATCGTTTGTCGAATCCCAGATTCGTCCTGATTAAATTCTAGTTGTGTCAGTACCACACCTGTGCTCTAGGGATTAGCCAAAATAGTTAGGCTAGTATTCTCACACAAAAACTGACACGCCACGATATAGCTGTCCATGCTCAAAGTGGACTTAAGCCACACTCGCTCACTCACTTATGTTCATATTTAAACATCGTAATGAAAAGAGTGTGTGTATTGTCACACATCTACACATAACAACGTTAGAGATTGTTGTACATGGACGGAAGAGTTGCGGGTGATATCAGGACAGGTGACAAAAGAAATACCTATGAATTTGGAGGAACTGTTCAGTAATCCATTCATATATTTTGTACCACTAGAGGACGCCGGGATATGACTGCAATACTGTTCAAAGCAGCGTTAAACCCAACTCACTCACTCCGAAACCAATCTCTACGAAATCGAGCTCAAACTGTGAATCAAATTGCTGCAGACTTTCATCAGGCTACTGGAGTACACGTCACGTGTCAGGCGTATTAGAAATCGTCTACATGAATCTCATCTCCATACTCGATGGCCACGTGTTGTACCGCCCCTTACAAATTACCATACTGCCAACAGACCTGAATGGCGTACATGGCGAAACAGGGGTCGCTGGTCACGTGGCAAATTTTCAGATGATGAGTCCCGACTCAATTGATGCGGATGGTTTTGTCGCAATGAACGTCAAGCCACTGTCAACCTGAGACCTCCTGACACATTTGGCGGTGGATTGGTTATGGCGCGGGGTTGCATTATTATTACTGAGCGAACCCCACTCCATATTGTGCATGGAAGGGTCAACATACTGACACTCTCTGTTGTCCAGTTTGTGGTTCGACGTTTTGTCTTTCAGGACGACAACGCCCGTGCTCAACGTGAATGAATCGTCAATGCCCACCCGAAGAGCACAAACTGCCATTGAGAGACTCATACGTAGTATGTCTCGTCTAGTGAATGAATTTTTGAGAATGTTTGGCGGTATTACACACTACTGATTCAAAAACGTCAATTTTGAATTTTTCCCATCTTATCTCTATCACCCTGCAATATCGTTAGCGGTCATAACATCTACTGTCATACTTCACTACCGGTTGTAATTATGTGTTATCAATTCGTTCCTTAGTACCTTACAATTATTACCAGAAAGTCTGTTTATTTGTTGTTCAACGTCGCACTCAGCAATATTCCAGCTATATAACGGCGGTCTGTAAATAATCGAGCCTTTACCACACAATCCAGTGATTGATATCATGAGCATCGATCCACTCAATTCTGACACGAAGACATGCACCAACGAAGTCAGCGAGCCTGGCCACCCGATCCCGTTAGTCGCCTCTTGCGACAAGCATTTTCGCCATTTACGGCAAGTTTTGGTTGCTGAAGACCTATTCTATCCCGAATCTTCACTGGTCTACTTTAAAGTAATCTTCTATCTTAGAATTGTGGACATTTTAAGTTATTACCAACTATCTACAGGCTTTTGAGAGTATAATACACAGAGTGATGAATCCTGTACACATTACAACAGTGTCAGGACAGACCAGGGCAGCATGGTGTCCTGAATCAATTGGAGGTAAAGGATCCTGAACGACACACCTCACATTTTCTACCCCTGTACTGTTGTTCATATCTAATGGGAAATATAAATAGCCAGTACTTTCACCTCAACCTGGGGCACAGAACATACTTGTTTTCGTTTTACAAATTTAAAAAGCTGCCAATCTTTAAAAACTGACTCGCTCTACGTTGAGATGTCAGTTGGTGTATTATATTTATCAGAGGTGTTTCATATTTACAGAGGCTATTGATATATGCCCTTGCCTTAGTAACGCTCGTGTTTATTTACATCTCCACAGCCCAAATCGATTAGACTATTTATAACTTCCTCGAAGAACAAGACGTAATGTGAATAACAAAATTGTAAATGACTTTGCTGTCTCTTGAAGAGACTAAGCCAGCTATTAATTACATAACTTGCCAAGCATAGCACAGTACATGTATTGCCCAAACACATCAAGACATGTTTCAACCAAGTCATGTTTTGAGGCGGTAATACATAATTACATACATGTAATTACATGTTTTTAGAAAAATATTCACCGAGTTAAATATGTTTATCGTACAATAAAACACTGCAGGGAGAATTAACCATGCGCGGCTGTTTAAACAAGCCACTCGCGACATGATAATCACGCGCTATCAGTGCACAATACATCCACACAAAATTTAAAAATATTCTGTACTGAAGTCTTAAATCTTGTTCAACATGGCTCCTATGAGATTATCTGACGTCGAAAGGCGGCGAGTAAGAGGCATGTTTAATCCAGGAATGTTCTACAAAGCAGAAGGTCATCAGTTCGGTTACCACCACCAATGTCATGCACCAGTGAAGACCGGGATTAGAATTGGCCTTCAGTAACCCATGCTTACCGTAAAAGGCGACTATGCTTGTCATGAGATGCGTCTAACGGGATCGGGTGGTCAGGCCCGTCAGGGATCGGGTGGTCCATGCATGTCATCGTATCCAAATTGCGTAGATCGATGCTCATGATGTCAAATGTTAACAGACTGCCGTGACGAAGCTGGAATATTGCGGCGTTAAGTAACAAACAAACAAATCCTCATGTTATGCAGGGACCCGTATGGCCCAGATGTTTAACGCGCCGCAATTTGCTGTGCAGAGTTGCGTCCCTTGTGCGCACCAGGAAGCTATGATTGATTCGAATTCAGATTCGCCCTGATTATGTTTCTAGGCTTGTCAGCTCCGTACCCGTGCTCCCGGGTTTCACCAAAGTGGTAAACGTCTGAAAACTTGCATCACTTCGGGAAGTCCTTCCTCAGTAAGTGATATAACTGGAATACTGTTAAAAGCGGTGTTAAAGCGAATTCACATACTCACTCACTCCCTATGTCATGCATGCTTCATCAAAGTGATGAACGTCTGTGTGCATTAACCTTCTGATGATGTGAATCGATCGTCTCCGTGGTCTAATGGTAAAGCGCCCCCCCCCCCCCCCCCCCCCCCGTAGAGCGGAAGGTCCGGAGTTCGATCCCCGGCCGCGTCATACCAAAAGACGTTAAAAGATGGTACCTGTTGTTACCCTGTCTGGCGCTCGGCATTAAGGGGCTAAAACAAGGACTGGTCGGCTCGGAGTCAGTATACTGTGTCTGAGTTGGGTATTCATGTTAAACTGTGGCATGGTATCTCAGTGTGCTAGCACTATAAATCGTCATCAGTCCGGACTAGTACAAGCAGCCAAACAAACACACACACGTGCATGCACGTCGCTATATAAGTGCAATAATCTTGGACGCGACGTTAAACCCCATTTCACCTCACCTATGATGTGAATCTAACTTCAGGTCAAGATATGTCATGCGTATATTATCACAAGTTTTAAATGTACATCACGTGTAGGCATCCAGTATAACAACCGTTATTCCAAGGTGCATTGTGAAATCTTTAAACATAAATGTCGCCATATGCAACACTTGTAACAGGTGTTTATTACTATGAGTAGAATCACGTGACAATATATTTTAATATCTATTGAACCGCAAAGGAAACGTCACTTCATGGAAATACTTAATGAAAGCTTCCCATTGAATCAATGCATTTTTGGAGGTATCTTTTTTTGACAATGGGTCCACAAACGCGGCTTAACAAACGATCATGGTACAAAGTCCCGAATGCTTTGCATGACAATCAAAATGTATGTGCGCCACCTTTCGGGAGACTGCATGCTGTTGGTGACCTGGTAGCGTTGCTGTAATCTGTAGATGGTTCTCACGAGGACATTAAAAGCATTGGGAATCTTTTGTGCAGTCTGACCGGCATGCAGCATGTTTCTCCTGCGGCTCAGTATAAATGTACCAGGATTTAGGACGACTGCAGGCAGTCGTTCTGAAGCCTGGTTTCTCTGATTCTTCGTAAGTCTTGGTATGGCGCTAGTATCGATACATGAATGTTGAATCCACGTATTGGGGTGCCGTTGATCAGAAAAGGCATAATGAAACGCAAGGTTTTTTATATTTTCATGGAACGCATTCGGGACTTTAAGCCGTGGTCGTTTGTTAAGCTGCGTTTTGGCGACCAATTATAGCCATATTTGTGGCCCGTTTTGGCCGTTAACATTAAATGTGGATAATACACTAATGTCAAACACGTGAAACCTCCCAAAAAATGCATTGATATTTCAATGGGAGCTTTCCGGAAGAATTTCTTTTTTTTTCGGTTCAGTATATTATGAATTTTATTCCAATATCAAAGGAAGTGAATTGGATCCTTGAGTGTCGAGGCTGCTGATTGGATTGTGAACAGTATGACCGAGAAGTGTTGTTTGACTCTTTCCCATTGCTTCGCTGGATCCTTTGACTTGTCCATCTCAAACAGCAGATCGGTGAGGCCTGGGAAGGATGACCCCGCATAGCTGTTGACACTG